GTGATCAGCTAGACAGACTGATCTCTAACTCTTACTGCAAGGCATTTTCTTCAGCCGTTGATTCTTTATGAGACGGTTTTCTGCACCGTCTCCAATTTTTTCAACATCCTTTTTAAAATGCAATCATGATTGTGTGCAGCATTCCAGTATCGGTCTCATCAGTGCCAGAGAGAGATAAAAATCACATCCCCACAGCTACTCTCTACTCCCGTTTATCCACCCATGGATAGCAGCAGCCCTTTTTGCCAGAGCACTGGGAACTCATGTTCAGTTGCTTATCCACTCGGACCCAGAAATCCTTTTCTGAGTCACTGCTTTCCGGGATACATTCCCCCATTCCGCAGGCCTGGCCTGTATCCCTTGTTCCTAGACTTTGCATTTGGCTGTATTAACACACATTTTGTTTGAATGGGCCCAGTTTACCGACTGATCCAGATCTCTCTGTATAACTGCCCTCTCCTCATCCGTATTTATCACTCTGCCAATCTTTGTGTCATCTGCACATTTTATCAGCAGTGATTTGATATTTACTGCTAAATCATTGATAAAAATATTGAATAGTATCGAGCCTAGTACCGCTGCCTGAGGAACCCCACTAAAAACACACCTTCTCAATGAGTCCTCACTGACAGCTGGTTTATGAGATCTGTCAGTCAGTTCTTAATCTATTTCATATGTGCTCCATTGTTATTGCATAGTGCTAATTTATTAATCAGAATATCATGTAGTGCTACATCAAACGCCTTACAAAAGCCTAAATGTATTATTATCTACGCGGTTATCTTTATCAACCAAACTTGTAATCTCATCAAAGAATGAAATCAGGTTTGTTTGACAAGATCTATTTCCCATGAAATCATGCTGACTGGCATTAATTATATTCCTATCTTTTAATTCAATTCCATATCAACTTTTACATTATTTTGTCCCGGACTGATACTAGGTTAATTGGCCTGACCTGGGTCTTCGTGCTTGCCCTTTTTGAATACTGATACGACATTAGCATTCTCTCCATCTTTTGGAATTTCCCTGATATTACAGTGTTTATTAAAAATCTAACATCATCAACAGGCCAGAAATCTCCTCAGCCAACTCTTTTAGGACTCTTGGGTGAAGTTATCTGGACCTGCCGATTGAAATATGTTTATGACTATGAGATGATGTTTAGCATCCTCCTCAGTCACTAATGGAGCGGAAATAACTTTATCCTGCTGTCTGTCTGATTTGGGAGTTTTCTTTTGATTACTGTCATCAGCCTAGGACTTATCTTGAAGTTTTCAGTGACAAAACTACTGCTCATAACTATAACCATGGGGTATGTTTACAGCATACCAAAGCTGCTTATGTCAGACACCACGTTCACCAGGGGAATCTCGGCCCCCAGGAGATGTGGGTAACACTAGAAGGTTCCTTACAGCAAAGTTTTGGTAGCAGAGTTTAGCATAGCATTTGCGGAGCAGTGAGAATGAAGAGCTAGGTCTCCCAAATGGTGACTAAGTTAATTCCAATAGGGGGATGACCTCTCTACTGGGGGCAAATTAACAAGGACTGCAGAGAAGCGACCGCTTTTAAAAAAAACTATGGGGACAAATTAGGACGACCAAGCACAGCAGAGAAGAGTTTCCAAGGAGGTTTAGACTCAAGATTCAATCCATTACCTCTGGATTCCTGTCTACAAACAGGAATGAATGTCAAATGCACCGCTGGTGTAAGCAGGTGTAATGCATTCCCATCGAGTACCGCACCTGCATACTTCAGGGCTCAGTTTTGGCTTGAGTACTAGAAAAAGGGCCTTCACGCTATCACTTATGTCTTGAACAGTCTCTAAGTGATATCACAGACCAGGCTAAGTCATTCTTGCCTTACCCTGAGTCGGCAATTTACCCTGCTTTCACATACCCCGGAGGAGTCTCTGAATGATGCCCTAGCCTGTGCTAGCAAGCACACATCCCTGCATAGCTGCTGAAACCCTGGAGACCCTTCGTCAGAGCTGCGTGTATGGGGAGGGAGATGGAAGTGTTAACAGAACGCTACAAAGCTGTAGCAGGAATTGGCCCAGTCTGAGGCTTAATGATGCCACAAAAAGCCTTGGTGCAATACATACCAAGAGTGCAACTTATATCCCTCCCCACAACAGCCAAACCAGAAGGGCGGCAAGGGCAGACTTGTGTATGTGTGTGTGTCTAGGTACCAGTGACAGCACACATGGAAACACCCCACAGTACCCAGGCACTGACTGACTGGGAGCAGAGTTTATGGCCCACCTCCCAGTTACCTTCTGACTAAGGCCAGGCACTAACATACTGCGTCCATTTCTTAACATTTGACTTCTACAGCAGACTGAGCCCTTCATCCCTCAGGAAGGGGAAACACTTCGCAAACTACACGCGTGCACCAGAGAAATGCACACAGCTCTGGGGTGGGCACCGCATGCTCCATAACAGGGCGGGGAGATGTGCCAGTAGGGGCCATTCAGGCTAAGACAGTAGGACAAACCATTCCTCTCCCATGAATTAGCATCCTGCCTGTGGGGCGTGGCCACAGGGGGTTAAGGTTTCACCCCCAATGAGCATAGCACTGACTGTACATGTGCCATGGAAGGATGAGGAGCTGAAACAAGATTTGAAACTGCAGTTCCAGGGGGAATCTTGGAATTTCCAGCCTGAGGCTTAGATTCCCGAGCGCCTCCCTCCTCCCCCCAGCCAGCACACACCTGACTCTACCATGGCCAATCACCCGCTGGGTGCCAGGTCTGAATGAAGGGATATTGATACGGAAGGGTTCAAACCAGCGCAGAATGTTACTCTGAGTCTAGAGGGCTTCCCCTGGCCTTCCTTGGAGCTGCTAAAACAAACCACAGCGTTGCTTTCTGTGGATTTAGGACTGTCCTTTAATTAAAGTTAAAAGATAAGCCACTGAACCTGATATTTTTACAGCGTCCCAAAGCGAGTTGCAGGACGCTACTCATTTTAAATCTGCTCTCCCAGCGCTGATTGATATTTTCATTCAACAAGCTGTGCCCAGGCTCACATTATGCAGCTGGCTTTTCCTACTTTCCCAACGGGGCCACATGAGACGCTGCAGCTTTTCAAAACCTCGGCAATATTTGCAATATCCTGGCCACAGCTGAGAAAACGTATTTATTACAAATATGTTTTGTTTTTGCAGACAAGGAAAATCAGCCACCCGGTTAGCTCAGAAAGGCATTCTCATCACAGAGCAGCTGCCAAAGGCACAGGACCTTGCGAGACATTTGCTCCTGCTAATTTCATGCTTCATAAATGCAAGTTGTATTAATGTTCAGTAGGATCTTTCATGGGTTTGTGTTTAAAAAATACTGAAAACATGCCAGTCTTTTCCGGTCCATCAGGGCACTTCATATCTGGTAAGAAGCTGAGTCCTAGATTTTGGCATTTTTCAACCACAGATCTCAAAGCACTCTACAAAGGTAAGGAAGCATTGTCCCCGTTTCACAGGTATGGAAACTGTGGCAAAGAGCTGATTCGCCCAAGGTCACACACTGAGTCAGTGGAAGAGCAGGAACAGAAGCCAGGTCTCCTGACTCCCAATCCAGTGCCTTATGCACATCGCCATGCTCTCTTTCTTGAAGGGACGCTGTCAGGTTAAAAACAATTTCTTTTAAAGTAAGTGACCCACCCTCTGTTATAAGCAACATTTCAGAATACTAAGTCAGAGAGAATTTTAAAACCCAAATTGATTCTTCACCACTTATGAAGCTTATTTCAACATTTAATTCAGTAACTTGAAAGGTCAATTTCACTTCTCTTTTGAGTCCATCTAATTTCTACTTCTCCTATGCCTGTACCATGCTGCTGCCGCCGCCCTTTCACAACACTACAGAGGATTTTGCAATCCTAGCAATGAAACCTCCCATATAATTTTATCATTTCCCTGAAAGGTCTCTATTAACACAGCTCTCGTAAGACTTGCATTTAAAAAAATAAATAAAACTGACCAAAAACCCCTACTAGATTTTGGACCCAAGCTCTGCGACTGTGTCCCTTTAAAAGCAACTAAAACCAAGAAAATCTTTGAGATCCCAAATCCTCAACGAGATAAATGTCTAGACTTAAATGACAAGTGTATCTATATTCAAAAAGAACACTGGAAAATGTCTTCTTTCCTTTGCTTAGCTGCCTAGACCCAAGCTCAGGGTTCTACTTCCATAGCAGCCCTGTAATGAAACACAAGGCAGAGCATTTCCCTGCAATCTGCTTCTGTTTCGGTAGATCAGGTCAATAGCGGCAGGGCCAAAGCAGGACCTTGGGTTCAGGTCTTGGCAGGTAGGTAAAAGGAGACTCATCGTCATCTATTTGCTATACAAACGTCGCTATTTTGGAGAGATGATTTCAGTGGATTTCTCCTGCCCCAAAGGCACACGGCCTCTATAACATCGATGGGAACTGCACAGCTGAACCCCTCTAAGCCTATGGTAACCAAGCCCCTCAATGTTATTTGATCACAACGTTCTGTGATCGAATAGAAGCTGCCTTAGATGCTCCCCTATGAAATTGCAACCTCTGAGAAGCGCTGATCCCCACCCCTGCAAGTTCTAATGGCTGGGGCTGCACTGCAAGGACCAGCCCTTTCCAACAGCTACTATGCAATAGAGGCAGCCTCACTATGCACTGTACCCAATGCAGAGAAAGGGCCTTCAGAAAGAACGCCTGGAGGAGGGGACAGGCTCCTTTCACCGTACTCCTCCCCCATAACGCTCCACCCGGGATTCCAAGCTCCTCGGACCTTCATGCAGTTAGTTCTAGCATTAGCCATGGCAATTGCCCTCGCAGTGCAGCAGGATTTAAACAGCTATCAGCTGGGCGGATTTCTCAGCAAACAGCTGCAGCGGGAAGGGTCTAACCTGTCATCTCCACTGTTGGTGGGGCTGAGGAGTTTGAGTGTGAAACACGGGCTGTTTTCCCCCTGCCTTCCAGCCCTCCCTTGCCAAGGGCAGCCAGGATTTCATGTTCACGCCCTACCTGGTGGTGGGAGATCTCTTCCTCCTCTCGCAATGGACAGCATCGAAAAAGGCTGCGTTCCAAAATCTCAGGGTGTGCCTGCAAAACAGGGAGAAGGCATTGAAGACGGCGCGTTGCACGGGAGAGCACGGCCGCCACCCCAGCAGCACCTCCGAGCGAGTGCGGGGCACTTGTGCACGTACACGGGGTCCTGCCAAAGTGCCCTCCCCACAGATCCAGCCTTTGGCTTCTATGCACACAGCATGCAGCAAAGAGAAGTCAGCTTTACTGAGCTGTTAATTCCTGGTTTTGGGGGGTTTTGATCAGTGGCTGCGTTGACAGATCTCATCATTTTGGGCGCGGGCAGGGGGAAGGCAGAGTCAACTCTGCATGTGCAAAGAGTAGAATACTTGGATCAGGCACATGGCTGAGTTATGGGGAACGGCAGCACGTCACTCGGCCAGCATGGCAGGACCAGCTCTGGGCACTGTTCTCTGAGTAGCTCAGGGCCTGGGTTCCCCCATATACTGCTGGTGCTGTGCAAGTGGATGCTAATGCCAGCTGACTCAGAGGTACCAGGCACAGCTGGTCCCCGGGGGCTGCAGCTGAAGGTGGATAACCAGTCTTTACCAGATAGGCTGCTGCTTCAGGTGCATATATAAATAGATCTTCTCTCCCTTCTTCTCTTCTTCCTCCTCCTCGGGGCTGTACAAGGAAACTGTCGGGAAGCAGAGTTGCACACCAAGGCTGTGAGGAGGCTGATCTGTACGAACACAAACTTAGCACTACTCAGCTACTCACCCCACCCCCCAAGCAGTCACCCCGAGGTATCGAGGAAAAAAAATCAACTCAGACCATACCTAACGGGGGGAGAGAAAAGCAGTTTTTCCTCCTCATGGCTGCTGCTTGAGCTAGAGGAGCTGGTCCATTAGCTCAGAGGCAGTAGCCGACACAAACCTCTATACAGGGAAGGGGGACAACACAACAACACAAAGCACCACACCGTGTGTGTGCAGGTTACATTCAGCATCCAAGGGGTGCTGCTATGGAACGGGAGATGCTACTGCTCTGAACAATGGATTGGAAAAACGTCCTCTGGTTGAACCGCACTGAGAAGTTGTCAGTCATTCCCCACGGCAATTTCACTCTCCCGGTCACTTTACATGACGCTAGCTATGCCGGGGCATTTCACACCGTGTCAGCCCCCTGAACCCCACCCTAAGGTCCTGGGGATCCCTTTGCTAAAGCCATTGATTTGCGGCCGCGCTGCTTACCTGTCTTCTGCAGCTTCTCCTTCGGTTTGTCTTCCCCTTCCCTACAGCAAAGAAACCGTGCCAGTCAGCTCCTCCCTCAGAAACAGCAGCCGGCTCCCTCTCCTATCAGCCCACATAATTAAGCCATTCAGCCTGCTGGCATCCACCTCCTCCATCACAGCCATTGGGGCGAGACACAGTGGTGAGACACAAGAGGCTGACCGAGGTGCTAGCCATGGCCAACGTACATTGGAGCCCTTGGGAGAGTTTCACCCAATAACTTCATGCCCACGCAGACTATTTCCCCATAATGTCTCTGGTGCTTTGCAGCCACACTTTCCTCTCAGAAGTGGGCAAGCATATTATCCCCATTCTGCAGATAGGGAAACCAAGGCACAGGGAGGCTGGCTGATTTGCCCAAGGTCACCCAGGAAGTGCAATCCAGCTCTCCCAACTTCCGGTCCCATGACTAACCAATAGAGAACATTCCAGCTCTGGAATCACCACCCTTGCAGAGTTGGGGCGCTCAGTCGGAAAGCCCCTGGAAGGTTGTTACCCTTCTCTCTGCATTGGGCGTTCTCACACTTTCTCACTGAGGGAGCCACATCTAAATGGAGACGGTGTCTTGAGGACACCTACACGCCCATTTGTGATCACACGGGCCACCTTCCCTCCGCTCCCATTGGTGGTCAAACATCGCCTCCCTGGCGTTTAGTGCATTTGTAGTTTAATGAAGTTTACAGGCTGGAAATGAGGCGCAGCAACCAGCGGCATGTGGCCTGCCAAATCTCTTCCGCACACCGGCACGTTCTCTCTGGGCTGCTGATGGTCCACAGAGCAGTTTGGGAACCACTGCTCTACGCCCAAAGAAATCCATCTCCGGAGACCACCTGTCTCAGTACAGATAGGGACAGACACGTAGGCCTCGCTAGGAAGCCCACGTAACGCTAAGAGCTACAACTGGAGAGCCTGAATTAGCTCTCAGATCTAGGGGCCTTGTGCTGGATGGAATCATACCTATCCATATGTCTGTCTCACGCTCTAGTGACTGCAGAGCTGGGTGCATGTGCTATAGGGGAGATAAAACCCTGACAGGTAACGGAGGTCCTCCTTTAGCCACCTGAGTAGAGGCACCTGCTTTCAGAGCAGGAGGTTGCCTGTTCTACCCCAGATAGCACGCGCTGAGGGATGAAGGGCACAGCCTGTTTGTCTAGCCCACAGCACACGTCCCCTACACAGGGCGTCAGAGCACTGCTGGAGCAATACTCACTCGCTTTTCTTGCCCGTGGGTCCCTTGAGCTTGGTTTCCAGCCCCCCGAAGAAGCCCTTCACATTCTCAGTCTTCGCTGATGTGTTCTTCAAGAGTCGCTCGGCAATGTCTTTCTTCTCAGCCAGCCAGCTGTTTGCCGACTTCAGGTACGAGTCGATGCTCCCCATGGGCTTCTCCTTAGCCTCTGAGGGCAGCGCCTGGGCTTTACCTACAAGAGAAACAGGAGGTTTCTAGAAATGGCTCTTTTAAGAGATCCCAGGATAACTAAATCTAGGCTGCTCCCTACTGCAACGGCGGCTGCACGGCTTTAGCTACAAGCGCCTCAAGTACTTACTCCTAAAAAGGTTACAGAGACACCAGGTTTTAGCCACATGGAGATTAAACCAACACCACAAGGCGAATCCCCTGTGTCAGCATCTCCGTCTCTCCAGGATGCATCCTTCGCTTTAAAGCCAACAGCGTGTGCATGATGGCCAGCATCTCCTGAACCAACAGGTGGTGCAAGACATACTGCTGAGGGGTTTGGCATCCTCATAGCTAGAGAGCAGAGAGATTCTCTTGGCTGTTGCAAGAACAGTCAGAGAGGGAACAGTCACTCGGGACGTCACTGGTCTGAGATCTAGAGCAGTGGTTCTCAACCATTCCAGACGCCTGTGCCCCTTTCAGGAGTCTGATTTGTCTTGCGGACCCCCAAGTTCCACCTCACTTAAAAACTTGGGCTTCAGCTTCAACCCTGAGTGGTGGGGCTCAGGCTTTGGCTTTCTGCCCTGGGCCCCAGCGCGTCTAACACAGGCCCTGGCGACCCCATTAAAACCAACTCGCTCACAGTTTGAGAGCTGCTGATATAGTATATAGAGCAGTATAAACAAGTCATTGTATGAAATTTCCGTTTGCTTTGACTTCACTAGTGCTTTTTAGGTAGCCTGTTGTAAAACTAGGCAAATATCTAGATGAGTTGATGTGCCCCCTGGAAGACCTCTGCGTACCCCTGGTTGAGAACCACTGTTGTAGAGGAAAGCAACAGAGAGTCCTGTTGCTTTTTACAGATCCAGACTAACACGGCTACCCCTCTGATACAGTTCTAGAGGAACACTCTTTCCAGCAACCGACCGGATATTTTATGAATGCCATTTCCCCTCTCCACCGCATTCACCAAGTCCCTCACTCTCCAGCCCCCACATTGCTCAGGGTCTCCCATTAGGCTACCCATCTATTTCCTTTAGGACCAACTAATCACCGCCTCACTGTGCTACGAGGCCGCATCAGCCCATCTCCACTCTCTGACTCCCCAAGACAGTTTAATAGTATTCCCTAGCTGGCAGCATGACAGGAACGGCAATTCAGAGAAACTCAGCAATTAAAAAGCTGGCCCCAGTCATGGGGGGGAAAAAAAAAAAAAAAAAAGCTGTCACTGGACATTGATTTCTTATTTGAAAAGCTCCAAGCTCAGCAGAATCAGAGGAGCCCGGGTTCCTAACAGGGGGAATCTTTGAGCCTCACGAGTCCGTTTTAACCTGAGCTCACAAACTTTGAAATGAAGTAAACTCAATCACGCAGCACTGCCATGACCCCACCACGCTGCGCTGAGCTGATAACACGGGCCTTAGAATGGGTGCGTTTCCTGGCCGAGAACACAGGAACAGGGACCCTCTAATAATAAAGGAGAGATACTTAGAACAGCCGGATTCCCCTTCTACTGCAGCTAGAGAAAGCATGCGCCGCAGAGCCAGGTTTCAATATTTATCTATCATGGCTCCCATCGGCCCAATAGCCAAGCACTACTGTAATAGCCAGCTGACATCTCTTCTGTTGAATGGACAAGGACACACCAGAGTTTGTCCCCCCTTGGGCATTTGTGATAAGACATTGAGCACCAAGGGGTTCAAAGCAGCTGTGAGCTGCCAGACGACGACATCTGGAGCACCCGCGACACACTGAGAAACACGCTCCCCTCTCTCTGCATATACATAACTCACAGTAGCATTAATGACAATCATGCACAGGAAGAGGGAAGAACCCTCAATGCCATAACAACGCCGGGCTCCCAAACACCGCTCAGCTCGTGCTGGACGTTAGTTCCAGTGACTGCGATACCGATTCCACCTCCGCGCTGGGCATTTGGTGCAGGAGCAGCACCCACAGCCAGAGGAACATGGACAAAGAGAGAGAGAAGGGAGGAAGCTCCTGTTTTTATAAAATGGACACAATTTTCTGTTGAAAATGGCTCCTATGGCTGAAGAGTTCCCTGTTTAAAAGTGCGTTGGATTTAGACCAAGATTTTCAGAAGTGACTAGTGATTACGGGTGCCTCAGTTTCTGGGCATCCAACCAGAGACCCAGGAAGGAGGCCTGATTTTAAGGCGGTCCTGAGGCCCCCCTGCTCTGAAAAATCAAGCCGCTGAAGTCTCTCAAGTTGGCGCCCCACACATCACTAGTTAATTTTGAAAACTCTGACCGTTAGTTTTTTAAATTTTGGTTAGAAAATTCAGCCCCGCGCAGATACCATTCTCAGTGACTGCCTCCCAATCTCAAATCAAGCGGATGTTTCTGCCTGGGATTAGGGACGTCATCCTAGAGCCAGCTGTGCCCCTCCGAGTGAACACACATCTGTTCTAACAGCCCACCCTCACACTTATTCTGAGTCGTTTCAACACCCCTGCTCCTTCAGCCAATACGAGAAAGGCACCCGTGCGCACAAGCTGCTTACCGATGTGATAGTAAGTGAAACACATGGTCATTAGATTTTTGGCAGGACCAAAGTCATCCATCTGGTGACACCTGAAATGGGTCAGGAAGAGAGACATAAGGAATTAGCAGCCACACCTACAGCAGCATAGCAGAACTGGTAGATACCCAGAGGTACCAGATGTTTTGGTACCAGGTCACCTCCTCCATAGTGTCAGCTTAACCATACTCACCCTCCAGGTACTGTAGATCCCATTTGGGAAATGTCAGACTTCCCGCATCCCAACTGCTCAGAGCCCCATCCACCCCAGCATTACCGTCTCTAAATCCACCTACCTACCCATGAGCAGCCCCCCTTGATGCTTTACACTAAACCAGACACTCCGCTTCCAAGCAGCACTGTGCATTCACACTGGAGATGCTGCCAATTGACACGTGGCCCTCAAAGCAATTTCGGTGCAATGCAGCTGGCTCAAAAGGTGCTTCCAGAGACATTGCTCTGCGGTTCAACTGGGGACAGACAGCTATTCAGTTAGCACTGGTTGCTGACTTTCTACTTAGCTGAGGCTGGTCTCCCGGAATTAGGTGGCGTGAAAGCAAAGCGTCCCTCTGATGGCTCGGTGAGTAGATTACAAGAGGGCTCAGTTGTGAAAAAGGAAATCAATCCTGCTTTGATATCTGCCATTACTTACTCGAACAGCACCACCGCGAAGGACTGCACCAGCCGATAGAAAGTCTGCTCCGAGACGCACTTGGAGTTACAGCGCTGCAAAGACAAACAAAGCCGACACATGCCAGCGTTAGCACCGTTTCCTCTCCATTGCCACTGAGAGCGCAAGCTCCGAAGACCTGACGTGAGTGCTCCCAGAGAATTCCCCCACAGTGGGGCTGGGCCACTGGATGCTGGTTTGACCGTGTGGAATTTTACCTGGGAGCTGGGAGGGGTTTTGATGAGTTATTTTGATTTTTTTTTTAAATGAAACTGACGGCTTCTAACATTCCGCTGCCCAGTGATTGATACAGTCGCATTTTTAATGCGATTCAATACATGCATCCCTTTGCCCCCAGCTCTCCCCACTGAGATGAGGCATGGTCTCCAAACACACCACTCTGCTGTTCTAACAGACGTCCAGGAGACCCACCCTCCTGCCAGGCACCCTCAACTGCTTTGACACAGAGTAGTTAGCATCAGGCAGCTGTTATCCCCTGCTCACCTGAGCACTGACGTATCTTGCAAACCACTCCCTGCCTTTTCCGTTCTCTCCGCTGCACAGCTCCCCAAACTTGGCCTTCTCTTCTTGGTCCAGGTCCTCCCTGGAACGGACAAGAAATCAAACACTTTAAATTCCCCTCCCGCACTGAGCTGCTCAGAAAATCCCTGCAGCCTGTGAAACAAGCGGAGAAAGAATCCATGAGTTCTATCGAGGACACAATCAATCAAGGACACAGCTGTATCAGCAGCGCTACATGTACAGGACACATCTGTATTGTCATGCACATACCTGCTGCTCGGCCACTCCATTCTGCTCCTGGTCTTCACTAATAGATGCAGTACATCTATAGGACGGCTATAGGAGCAGTTTTTTTGTTCAGTGTATCACAAATCACCAAGGGTATGTCTACACTGCAACATGAGCCCAAGCTTACGTCTAATCCCCCTTGAGTCTATGCTGCAATTGCGCTAACTCAGGGCTCCGACACAGAGTCCCAGGACCCTGCAGGGGTGGAGGGTCCAAGCTCAAGTTAAGCCGGGACCCAGGATCTGAGCTCTATTGCTTTGCCGTGTAGATGCAGCCCCGCTTGACTTGGGGGCTAAGGAGTCAGCTGGAAGTATCCCATAATTGCATGGGACAGATTCCTTAGTCCTCTCTATCCCAATGATCTGCAATGCACTCTATTGAAAACAGAAGCCATCCCTGCTTTGCGAATGGCAGCAGCTCAGGTCGGCGTTGACCCGTACCCTTCTGATCACCAATCTGCAAGCATGCTGCCAGAGAGCCGCCTGGGTTTGCAATGGAGAGCGAATCGATCAAGCCTTCTGCAAAAGCGAGCTGCTTCCTGGTAACATACAGGGCAGACAGTAAAGTTTTCCCACAGTGCACCACATTCGGGGGTAAGGGGTAGCTGGGGACTCGGACATTGTTACTTTGATTCAGGTCTGTGCACGTCAGTGTGGACATCAGAGCCCTAGGTTCGAGCACGGATTAGAAAAACGTCTTAACATAGGGTTAAAATACGTCGACGTTCAAGCCCAGGGTTCCCTAACACAGGTCAGCTGACTCGAGTCCCACTAACGCTGGGCTTACATTGCAGTGTAGACATACTCGGAGTCACACATTCATCTTGCAGTAACCCCCAGAGGTCCCACTGATTGACTTTTGCAAAACACTGTACAAATACATGGTAAAGATACAGTCTCTGCTCCAAAGAGATTACACTGGCAATATGGATTAATGACAAGACACGATCGGGGGATGAATATTTCTCGCCAACGCAGGGAAGGGAGGGATTGTGGGAGTATTACATTTATTGGTCTACCTGCTGAAAGACACCATGACTATTAATATAGCATCATAGGCGGTACGTGGCATTTTACAGGAGTAGCAAGACAAGCTTATGATCCAATAGTCTTGGACAACTCCTAAACCATGTTAAATGGGCATGTCACCTTCCTTAGCCAGGGAAGGGCTGAGAGAGGTACCAGAATTTCTTTACACACCGTAAGCAGAGTATAAAGTGCTCTGCGGTGGAAGTAAGAGGCGAGACACCAATACAGCAGCTGAAGCACAGGGAAGAAGCTGTTAATGAAAATCAGGCAGGGGCTAACCAACACCAGCCATGCACAATAGATTCTCTCTGTGTTTGGAGCCGAGATGGCTGCCTGGAAGGGGGGAGTGGGCAAAGCCGCACTGCTTAGTGGGAGTGTGATGCATTTTAATTGGGACCTCTTCGGCGCATGGTTTCAATTTAGTTTTAAAAACCCCCAAAGCAAACCAAGTCATTGTGGCTGTGAGGAGCCGAGGTTTCTGCTCTGGGTTGGGATGATGCAGCATTGCAGTCTCCAGGCAATAGCACTTGTAAACGAGAGAAACATTACACATCTCAGGGGCTTCTCTAGTGCCAAGAAAGAGTGTTTCTCAGTGAAAAGAATTGCCAGCACGGAGGCAGCCAGGTGGGTTTTCTCCTCTCTCGAGTGCTCAGACTTGCCAGGAACCTTTTGAAAGTGAAACGAGAGCTCTACTCTCAAGAGCTATTCACTCAGCAACTCAACGAGGGCAAAACCTCATTGGAAATAGAAAGGGAGCATCGCAGGGCCAAGGAACATCTGCTCTCCCGGCCTGCGCTCTTCACACACAGTGCCCCGGGAGCACTGACCAGCACTGCAGGAGTCAACTGGTTTGTAAGATGAAAGTGCGATGGAAGCTCAGGGTAGCGCGGATATGAGAGAGTGCAAGGTGCGAACTGACCCCCACGCTAGCCGGACACAGACCGACTGCACACTTAGAGTTCCTCCACTCAGGAAGGGCAATGTGCCCGGCCACCATTGCCAAGTGCTACCTACCTAGAGAGTTTTAGCAGGACTGTAGCAGGGTGTGGCCGGGCCCCCTTGGCTTCTGCCTCTGCTAGGTTCACAAAGTCACTTGAAGACCTTGGGTTTAGTAACCACAGGTGCATTTTATTCTCAGGCTTGTTCCCACATCGTTTCACCATGTACAAGTAACCCTTCACCAGCTGCAGGCAGGAGGGAGGGGAGAGCTACCTCCCAGCTTCATTCCCTGCCTTTTCCCTTTCCTCCTGCTCTCCTCCGGCTTCCTTCCCCTCAGGCTAATTAGGTAGCAGCTGTCTCCGCTTCCCCAATTAGGGCCAGGTTATCTCCAGCCCACTCTAATTTGTTCGCCTAACGAGGAGCGGGCGAGACAGAGGGCTGAATCTGCAACCCTTTGCCCAGCACCCGGTCACAAGGACTCAACCCTTCCCTAGCTCCCATCACTCTTAAATTTTGTCCACACTACCGAAGTGAGCTGGGCGTGCCAGATGCATCCTCAAGCTTTGGCTAAACACAAGGGGGTCAATGTCCCTCGCTGCTAGACAGCTTCTAGGGCACGGTTACAGCACTGCTTGCTGCAATGGGCTTGAGCCCCTCAACACCAGCAAGACAATCACATTCAACCCGGCCCGAGTTGGAGCTTATATTCCCCAGGCATATGCACTCCCAGGAGCTCCTGGGTATTGGGGAAATGAAAGAAGATTCACGACATCAATACAGGTCTGTCGCATCTTACGCTGGGGTTACGTTCTGCAGTCAGCACGCAAAGTGAAAATCGAGTATAGTCAAAATTACATTGAGTGTAATGGTGGGCGGAATCGCCCATACTACAGGTACAGTATTAAAATTGTTGTTTTTCTCTTTTTTGTTTTGGTTTTTGCAGACCGCGTAAACTGAAATTGCGCATGTTAAATGCGCGTAAGATGCGACAGACCTGTACTAAAAATTCTGGTCAGTTTCCATTTGAGACACAGAGAGAGAGAGAGAGAGTTCTCAGCTTGGATCTGGGATGTCTCTGCAGGGAGAGAGAGGTCATATCTTTTATTGGACAAACTTCTGTTGGTGAAAGAGACAAGCTTCCGAGCTCCAAAGAGCTCTTCTTCAAGTCTGGGAAAGGTAGCCCTAGCATCACAGTTAATACAAGGTGGAACAGATTGGTTAGGACAAGTAGTTCACACATTGTCAGAGACCATTCAAAGTGCAGTGGCTCTGCAGTCACGGGACTAAAAAAAAAAGGGCGGGGGGGGGCACGCAGATAAGTGGGTTATAGATTGTTGTCATAAGCCATAAACCCAGTGTCTTTTTAGGACCATGATTTTTAGTGTCGAGCAAAGCAGGTTTTCTTTGAGGACAAGGACTGAGAGGTCAGACATGGAGTGATCGCTTTCTGGAAAGTGCTCACCCACAGGTGATCATGTTTTTGTCTTTTATCATTTTTTGTTGTGAGAGGTCATTCAAGTGTGTAGTTGATTATTTGGCTTCACCCACATAAATGTTATTGGGGCATTTAGTCCACTGGATGAGGTCCCCTACATGTGACAGGCATGCGCAGGACCCAGGAATCTCGAAAGGTGTTTTGTGGGTGGGCACGCGCTCCGTGTCTGACCTCACTGTCCTCGTCCCCAAAGGAAACCTGCACAACATCTTCAAAAGACGAGCCTGGGAGCTTAAGTAACTTTGCTAGGACCTAAAATTGGATAACAGGTAGAAAGTTTTTCCTGTTTGGATAGTTAAGCTCTGGAATGGGCTTACAAGGGAGGCTGCGGAATCCCTGTCATTGGAGGTCTTTAAGAACAGGTTGGACAAACACCTGTCAGCAATGGTTTAGGTCCTGCCTCAGGGCAGGGGGCTGGACTAGCCCTCTCAAAATCCCTTCCAGCCCCACGTTTCTAGGATGAGAGTCTGGATGGCATCTCCTGCACCAGCGGGCCTGAAGAAAGCTCCAATCCCCACTAACTCTGATCACTCCGGGACATTTGGCTCTTACAAAAAGAACTCGACAATGTTTCGGCAGTTGAAGTGCTCCAGCCACTGCTTCTAATGCTGACCAGTATTGTCCTCCTGCCATCTTGAATCTGCCCCCAGTCTGTCTGTTGCATCCATCTGCTGTCTCTTGTCTTAAGCTACGTCTACACTAGCCCTTTTGTCAGTACAATGTATGTCGTTCAGGAGTGTGAAAAAACACCCCACGCCGGCGTGGACAGGGCTATGTCGGGGAGTGGTTTAATTATGCCGACAGGAGAACTCTCCCCGGTCGGCAAAGAGCGGCTACACGAGAGACCTTACAGCGGCGCAGGTGCATCGGGACAGCTGTGCCGCTGTAAGGTCTCTAGTGTAGACAGTGCCTTTTTGTCCTGTGTTTGTACAGCACCTAACACAATGGGGCCTGGTCTAGGATTGGGGCTGCTAGACACTACAGTAATGCAAACAAATAATAAACTGCTCCTTTCAGCCACTTCATCACCTATCACGTTCTGGCAGAATCAGGTAGAAGGGACAGGCCTCTGTGACCCCCTACAATCTGGACCCCCACGTGCCCTGTCCCATCTACCTTTCAGGTTTTATCTGCACTGAACACGACCTCCCCAGCCCAGAGAGACTCAGGAAGCGGGCCAGTTTCTCCTGTGCAATTGACACGATGGAGGAGGCTCCATCTGCCACCCCTCTGACTCTTCCCGGCAGCTCCAATCCCCTGTCCAAGGAGCGCTTTGTCCCAGACAACTCCTAGCTGTGCTCTGAATCCACTCTCCCTTCCAGCCTGCATCCAGCTCCGCGGTTCAGCAAAGCCGCTTTGGCAGTCTCATGTTACCGCGCGCCCCCCATCCAGCACAATCCCCAGGTGCGGTAACCTCCCAGTTGGGCTGCTTTATGGCCGTGCTGACAGGTGGCCCTGTTCCCTTTCCCTGCTTCGTGCTGCTCTTTTGCTCTCAAGACGAAGGAAGGAGCCACCGATTTCCAGCACAGAAATTCCCCAGCAACGACTGAATCACCCCGAGCCAAACTATCAGCTCTGCCTTTTGCTCCCCACCAGACAATCTGCTCAATCACACTGGATGCACTGAACCGGGATATTACACAGACCGAAACAAGTAAGCTTTGCTGTCGGGATCAAAGGGCCCGAGGCATCCGTCGCTGACAAACAGCAAACAGACCCCCGGGTGCATTGGATCCCCTGACATTACGATTAGCAAGGAGGTCTGCATCAGAGCCTGGGCAGCGCAGAGATGTGCAGCAGGGTGAGAATGGAGCGGAGGACACAGTCCCTCCGCCTCCAGACAGCCCCATTGTGACTAGATGCAGAAAGCTCTCCCTGCTCCTCTCTGCCGACTCCCCTCACTCCCGGATCCTACACCAGGCTAGGCAGAGTGATCGAATCTGGCAGCCGGGCCTGAGTCGGTAAGTCAGCACCGCAGGCAGGCAATCAGAAGGGGACGTGCCGTTCCAGGCATCGCAGTCTGAGGAAGAGCCGCACGCAGGGGACATGCTCGATGCCTCAGCGGCTCCAGTGTATGGCAAGACACGATGTCAAAGGCCATTTCCCTGCAGCCACCCAAATCCAGGTACTTAGCACAGCTCCACTGGCCAAGAGCCTTCCTCTGCTAGACAGCTCTGTGCTACAGTGGCAGGTATAGGGGCTGCCTAGAGAGCGGTTATACCAGACAGGTCAATTCTACCTCTCCTTTCCTGGGTACATGCAACACAGCCACATGCATATAGGGCTGGAGCGGGACCACATGCACAGGCAGTGCCCGAATTCGGACATGCTCCTCGAGCGGATGCCCCACACCGCTCCCCGGCTGTCACCCCCCGACTTGTTCATTATCTCGCTTCATAACCCAATCTCTGCTTTGTACGGGAGGAATGGAGTACTGGGAAGCATGCATGAGGGCATGCACCCCTAGGCTACAGATCACAGAAAAAGGCCAGCTGCCGAGCACGTGAGGGCAAGGAGGAGAAACAATACGTCTGGTTAATTTCAGTCCTGTTGGAAGGAGGAGGGGAACTTGCAGAACCTGATCTCCCTCTGCGGGGCTACCACCCTCTCCATCGGAGGATCTCCAAGCCCTTTACAAGCATGAGTGAATTTAGTCTCAACCTCTCATCCCCACTCACGAGATAAGGAAATATCCCATTTTACAGAACAACAAAACTGAGGTACAGAAAAGGAAAGGGACTTGCCCAAGGTCACAGAGTGAGTCAGTGGCAGAAGCAGAAGTAAGAGTTGATCCTGACCTCTTGAATCCCAGTCTCTAGTTCCTCTAACACTGTGTGGAGGGGAAAATCTACATTTGCCAAATGCAGAAGGGGGGAGAATTTAAGCTTAGAAAAAGGGCGAACAGAGAAAAGTCATGCCAGTGGAAGTTACTCAACAGCGTGCTCTGGAGGAGGGGGCAGCTTCATTATTCCCCACTCCTTCCCAGCATGCACCTCTGCACAGGACAATCCCCATCGGGCCTGGCTCAGTCAACCCCATCCTATCCCAGCATGCACCTCTGCACAGAGCAACCCCCACTGTGCCTGGCTCACTCACCCCCCACTGAAGATCTTCTCCACGTACTGCCTCATGAACTCCCGGCGCTCCACCATCACCTCGTCCTTGGCTGACTCCGTGCTCTGGTTGGACGAGAAGGACTCATTGGATGAGGAGCGACGGTAGTTGTTCCAGCTGTGATGGCTGGGCGAATCCCCCATGTCATTCTCACTGTCGGCCGACTCCGTGGTGTCGCTCTCCTCTCCTACAGCCGCTGGATCCCCCAGGTCCGCCAGTAACCCATTGCCACTGGAGGGTTGAGGGGGCGAGGGAGGGGACTCAGCGGGGACAGAGGCAGGGGGCTCGGAATCAAAGTCAATGAGGTTCCCCACCGGCACGTCGGTGGCCTCCATGGCTCGTAGAGCGGGCGTGCAGGGGCAGGTACCAGGGCAGGAGGCCGCTTTGGTGTGACTCGATTTCCCTTTTGCCTGTCAGTGAGATTTCAAGGCCATCTGTAGCTCGGTGTGTCAAAGACTCTCCTAGGATAAGCCGGCTAGAGCTGGCACGTCCCCCCGAGGCTCCAGGCTATCAGACGGCATCTGAAAGGCAAGACACAATCACCATTGAAAGGACAGCCCGGGAACTGGCATCATGGAGCCACTCAGTGGGGTCATGACAGCTCCAGCCAGAACAGCGGCGGGCCCAGAACCTTCCATTCCTCTTTATCCTCCCAGTGACTGACACTTATTCAGCCGATTCCCACTCCTCCTCCACCAACAGTGGTTGCTAGCAGGACAGGGAGACAGTGACTAGCCGGTGCTGGCTTTGCAGCATTTATTAATGCCATCTAAACAAACAAACCAACCCACCCATCAGGCAGTTGCAGCTTTTCCCCTAATTCACCCATTTCGCTTGTTAATTTAATTAGCTCAGGCTCTGCTGGCTTGTTGCTGTACACAACGTTGAATCATAGAAGATTAGGGTTGGAAGAGACCTCAGGAGGTCATCTAGTCCAATCCCCTGCTCAAAGCAGGACCAACACCAACTAAATCATGCCAGCCAGGTTTTTAAGGCCCGGCTTTGTAAAGCCGGGCCTTAGAGGTTTTTAAGGATGGAGATTCCACCACCTCCCTAGGTAACCCATTCCAGTGCTTCACCACCCTCCTAGTGAAAGTTTTTCCTAATATCCAATCTAAACCTCCCCCACTGCAATTTGAGACCATTACTCCTTGTTCTGTCATCTGCCACCACTGAGAACAGCCGAGCTCCATCAACTCTGGAACCCCCCTTCAGGTAGTTGAAAGCAGCTATCAAATCCCCCCTCACTCTTCTCTTCTGCAGACTAAATAACCCCAGTTCCCTCAGCCTCTCCTCGTAAGTCATGTGCCCCAGCTCCCTAATCATTTTCATTGCCCTCCGCTGGACTCTCTCCAATTTGTCCACATCCCTTCTGTAGTGGGGGGGACCAAAACTGGCTGCAATACTCCAGGTGTGGCCTCACCAGGGCCTCCACCCCCAGACTATTTACTGCGTCGCGACAGGCCCTAAACATTTACAAAGGGGTCCTGAGCATAAAAAGGTTGAGAACCACTGCAATAAAACATAGTACCCCTCCCACCTTGTCTCTCTAATATCCTGGGACCAACAACTACACTGCATAATAGCAAAGTAGGCAGATTTTACTCTCAATTAGCTTTCTCAGAACTGTATTTGGGGCAGGGTGGGGTCTGATCCTGGGAGGGGCTCAGCACCAATGGTTCCCATTGACTTGGCTGAGAGGCAGGAGAGCTCAGCACCATATAAGACCACACCTTCTTTTGAAGAGCCCAGGAAACAAGTCACTAACTTTGATTTGCTAAGGATAACAATGCAGCTGAGCGAAACTGTGCCTGGCACTAGTGCCAGAAGGGAGCCAGGGAAGGACACACTGACCTCTGTGGCGGTACACGGGGATCAGGAAGGAATACTGAGTAACTCACGTCCCAGCGGGCAGCACAGATGCACAGTGTTGGGAAAAGGAAAACAAGTCCTTGATTGGGACACAGGCTTTTACTGGTGAATTCGGGTCAACAACAGAATCTGTGCCTGTTTCAGACGCACAGGAACAGGGTCTGAACGATCAACCTCACATACAAATTTATCAACGTAAAGTTAATTTTTAGCACTGACTGATACAAGCCGGGTTGCCTTTGATCTTCATGGTGTTTCACAGACATTTAACCAGTCCTCAGGTCTGCAGCAGGTATTCTAATCCCTGTTTTCCAGCCAGTGAAACCAAGGTATAGAGGTGGTGTGACATGCCCGAGGCTGGACAGTGAGTCAGTGTCAGAGCTGAATTCAGTAGGTGCTCATTCCCAGTCCTGCGTCTGGCCTGCACACCTGTCCGTCTGCCATTGATTTCTGTCACAGGACCCGGGGGGGAGGTGCAACAGGCTTTTAATTACCATCCTGGCTGACTTACTCACCTATCCTCTCTTCTTAATTCTAGACTTAGACCCAAGGGGTTACAGCTAATTCTGATGGGAAGGGGGCTTTGGGGAGACAGTTCAGGCAGTTCCACTCTCTACCAGCAGGCGTCACTGCAAGAGGGAATGAGGGTGGGGGGGAGAAGAGGAATAAGCCTAAACTAAACTACACAAGCTTTACCAGTGAACCAATCGAGACTGAGGTCTTGTCTACACAGGAATGTGGCACTGGTTCAACTTAAATCAGTTTTTAAACCAATTTAGTTAAACTGGTGCAGTCTGGTATGGACATTCCTGTTTTGGTTTAAGAGTGGCTTATTTCAGTTTAGCTTCACCCTGTTCCCGATTTACGCTGAACTGGAAAAAATCACTTTCAAACCCAAATGAGAGTGCATCTAGACAGGGGTTTGAACCGGTTTAACTGAATCAGTGTAAATTCACACCTTAGGTTAAACTGGTGCAACCTTCTTATGTAGACAAGGCCTGAGCCTCCTGGAGCATTTGTTTTGGGGTATGGGTGCATGGCACCTCTCTGCATTTCTCCCTGAAACTCCTTGTCAATCCAACTCTTGTGGGTGTCTTTCCACTGACTGCAACAGGCATTGGAGGAGACCCTTAAGGAGCAGTAAGGGGTAACGGCCCCTTAGAAAGATGACAGAAGTGACGCAGAGGCCTCAGCCCTTCCCTGGAGAGGCGGGGAGAAAGGGCCACGTTATGCTTTCCTAGAGATGGATGAACCACACAGCCAATCTGCCATCACCCCTCCATTGCAGAGACGCAAGGAATCCCCCATGCAAAATGAGGGAGACGAAGCTTTACTAGTGACTGAGATCTGAAAAGCTCTACACCTCCCCTCTTCAGGCTCTCGCTCCCCTCCCACACAGGGTACATGTGCACATACGCTCTCTAAAACCCCATCACAGACAGCGGATGCTGAATGGACTAAGCAGAGCTTGTTCCCAGCAATGCACCAAGTGAAGGATTGCCCTGCAGAAAGACCCTCCGCATCAGGAAGCAGCAGCTTAATTCCCAAGGAGCTAGTTTGACCCAAAGGGAGGAACAGACAGCAGCGAATGCGTTCGGACAAGCAAACCAAGTACGAACAGAAAAGCTGCAGCAGCGAGAGAGACAGGCCCCGCAACCCAGATCAACAGGAGCAAGTACGCACCCACCCAACGGGACATACAGCATGTGCAACACCCCGCGGACCACGGGCAGAGCTAGAAAAGGCAATCACAGAAATCCCTGCATGCCGGCTCTCAGTCCAGACACAGACACCCCCCCCCCCCCAATGCCTGCAAACCCGGAGATAGTAAAAGCATTTATTTTTCGAAGTACTGTTGTTACTAATCCTGTGCATTACGGGTAGCATCTAAGGACCAACCAAGAATGGGTCCCCATTGTGCTAGGTGCTGTACAGACACAAAATACAAGACAATCCCAATCCTTGCCCCGAACATTTTACAATTGAAATAGACAAGACAAGAGCAGCTAGGGGACTGGGGTATAACACAAGCAGAGTGGACGTGATGGGAAATGGCATGTTGGTGTCACAATTGTTCTCCTTGGGGTAGGAACTAGTGAACCCAGGAGCACAACTGGAGCACACATCACGCTCTTTCACCACTTTAACCCTTGCCTTACCACACTGTGCTTTTCCCCACCTCTGTGTACCAGTATTACTTGCTGCATCAATATCTAATTTAGATTAGTAAATCCAGAGTTGGACTGGGCTGATTGAACGAGCCGGTACTTTCCCCAGGGAGATGAGTTTTGTATGCCAGAATCTCAGCTTTCATCATAATTATAATATATATAATTATGAGAGATTTTTCCAAAGATAACTAGAGGATTTAGCCACACAACCCCTGTTAAAATAAATGGTTGTCTGAAAAGCTCAACCTAAGTCTCTAGGTAACACGATGCTCTTGGATGGGTCCCTGGCAATAAGGATCAAACCTTGGATCTCAGGATCGAAACACAAGAGCCACTACTGCCAGAGCTAAAGAACCAGGCTCCTCAGTTCAAAGGCTGGAGCAGACCTGAACAGCTGGTCCTAAACTAGCCCAGATATGTCTGCACAGCAGCTGGGAGCATGCTGCCCAGCCCAGGTAGACAGACGTGCTAGCTCTGCTCGCCCTGAAAATAGTGGTGTGGCCATGGCGGCATGGGCAGCAATCCCACCCAACCCTCTGGGTATGTCCTCGGGAGTCCCAGGTTCAATTCCATGCTCTGCCACAGACTCCCCGTGTGACCTTGGGCAAGTCACTTAGCGTGCTTGCTTGAGCAGAGCTAGCGTGTCTGTCTTCCCGTGCTGTGAAGCACCGTCTCGAGTGAGGTGTAGAGGGACCCTAAGGGGACGAAGGGAGCATGCTGCACTACGTTAGCGTGGGTTACACGTGGCTGGCAAGAAACATGCAAGAATCAATCGATACACCGATGTCTGCCGGAGCCTGCAGCAAGCCTGAAACGAGGGAGGTATCAGCTCAGAAACCTGATTTCAAATCATCAAACACGCACAGTCTCCTAAGGACCATTGGGCTCCAGCCAGCGGGACCACACTGATGGTGTCTCGCCAGGCATCGTGTACTGAAGGCCCCAGATCTAGCTCAAACCCGTGAGAAACTGAATAGTTGCCATTTAAATGTCAACATGTAACTATGGGAGAGACAAGGTGGGTGAGTAACTGGACCAACATCTGCTGCTGAAAGAGCCCAGACCTGAAGAAGAGCTCTGTGGAGCTCGAAAGCTTTCATGGAACGGACTAGCCCATATCCTGGGACCAACACAACTACAACAACACTGCAAACAGCATGTAACTATTTCACTGCTAAACAAAGCACGGAAGAAAAGAAAAGGAGGATCATAATATGGGGACATGTGATGTCTACTGCAAGCAGCATCTCATGAATGGGTGGAGCTTGGGGGAGTACATCTGCACCGTTCCCCCTCACATCGGGCCCCATGGGCAGGGATCTACCCTTTTAACTGTCTCTAAAGTTGGGTCTAGCGCATATAAATAAAACAGATTACAATAAGCAGTGTTCGCATCTGCGATTAGTTTGCAGCCATTGCACGGGGCCAGGTCTGCCCACCTAGTCACCCGGAGTTACACAGGAAAAACGGCACCATTCAATGTTGTTGCCTCCCGACCGGCAGAGCAATTTTTCACCGAACTGATGTGATTTGTTTTAGCTGATTGCTGGCAGGAGCGTGGAGTGCAGACTCCTGCCTATTGGCTGGGCTTGGGTCCTTCTCTGATCTGCCTTCTGCTGCAGAGGAAAGGGAAAATGGTTTGTTGGCGTCCCATCCCAGGGTGTCACATCTCCAGGTGCGGGAAGAGATCGCCTTTAACTGAATCCCTTTTGCTGCTGATCGGCCCCTGGCCCATCCCATTCCTTCACTGGGAAGAACAGGGACTTGCTCTTTTAAAGCTCTGAGGGGTGGGGGAAGAGATTCTCCCACCTCTTTGCCAGTGAGTAACGTCAATCTGATCATCGTGATCAATTCCTGGCTCAAAGATGGCTGCCTCCCCCTTTCCGTCATTCACCCAACGCAGCAGGCCAGCGCCTCGGCCACTCGTCTCATCCCGTCGGCAGTGGAGAAAGCTTCCAGGCGTGCGGTTCTCTTGCGGCATGCAGGACGTCGCCATCAGCGAGAGCAGTACCAAGGGCAGATGGCGCCGTCTCCTGCCCTCCATTCTTAATGGGCTCTCGTCAGCGAAGCCCCCAACTAACTCCAATCGCCTCCAGCGCGGACAGACACTCCCGTCCACATTGGTTAGGTTCCTCCAAAAGGCTCCCCACACAGAAAGGGATTCCTCTCTGCCCCCCCGCCCCCATGTCGCATTCCCTCCTCCTGCCTGCCCCATTCTACACACCCAAACACTTCCCTGATCCAATCCCCAGCCCTGCCCTCGACATACATGGCACGTCTACGCTGCAAGACGGGGGCGTTCTTAACTCGGGTTAACACAGCAGTGCAGACACGGCGGGTTAGCAGCTCAAGCCGATAGACTAGCCTGGGATTGAACTGGAGTTGCTAACCTGAGTTGAAAGCCAAGTTGCCACGTCTTCACTGTTATTTTAATCCATGCTAGCTAACCCTAGTGAAGAAACGCACCTTTTTTGCAGTGTGGACATAAACCAAAAGGGATGGAGGACTCCAGGGGTAAGTTTTCAATTTGACACCCCAGCCCCGTAGGGAACCATCTGTGTACTCACTGCTGCTATTAAAGCAGGAGCAACGAAAAACCACTGGGGAGGAGAGAATTTCTGTTTCTTGGGAAGCACAGACACGTCCAAGAAGCCCCAGCCGAAAGCACAAGGGACAAGCTATGGGGGAGAGACTGGCTACCTGCCCATTATAAACACCATTCCGTACACAGAGAGCCTTTAGGCCCACCCACTCAGCTATGCCAGCTGCTCAGCGGCTACACCCGGTAATCTGCTAATTGTATGGCCAGCTGCAATCACCAATAATAAGCGCCTTCAGAGCGCTGATGTTGCAGGAGGCATCAGACAGCAGCTGTGGGAGCCACCAAGATGGTCCCCCCGACCCCATCCCTGTGCTTTAACAGCCTGCCCCAAACCCAGAACAGCTCCCCACCTGCTTCGCTGAAGGCGGCTACAGCAGGCTCTCCTCTGAGCGAGGACAGCGCTGCTCCAACAGGCGGATTACCATCCGACATACACAGGGTCTCGCCACCAGCCTCAGAGAGTGAGCCGCGGACTCAGACCTGGGAGTGAGCCGCGGACTCCGACCTGGCCTTTCTGCAGAGCAGTGCAGAGCCCGAGTTCCAGTCGCGCCACTGAGCACTTTGTTTACCGTAGGCTATTCCACACAATCCCACACTGTATTTTAACAGCCTCGGAGCATGTAACACATTAACTAGAGACAGGCCAGGATACAAACTCTAAACACCCCCCCAAGCTTCGCACCTGAGTTCTGTGACTCACGCCCGTCTCTCCCCACAGAGATGTGCCATATTTTTACATGCTCAGGTCACATTATCAAAACTGGCTGTTTTTCATTGCCCCCCCCCTTCCTCAAGTCACACCCAAACATTCCCACCAAAAAGGACACAGGAGGAAGCCCAGCGTAACACAAAGGACAATCTAAAGGCTGCGATTTGCTTTATTGGATTTCTATTCCCCAGAATGGCACGCTAGGAATTAAACTGACACGGCAACCCTGCCACGAATAAAGCCAGGCTTCTTTCCCTCCGACATGCACAGCATCTCATACCACAAGCAAGGGCAGCGTTCGGTTGAGAGACATCCCCCCACTCCACAAAAGGTTGTTTTACTTTGGAGAACCACCTTCCTGTACTGGGAGAAGCAAATATACCCTATTCACAGGTTAACTCCGCTCGCCCATCACATATTCCACAGGCTTTCCAGACCTCGTCTGCCAATTTCCAAAGACACTGGGCCAAGAGTTTCAGAAGCCTGCACCTCACACCCCCTCCCGTACCCTGAAAGTGGCCTGACGTTCACTGTGCAGGAGCGCAGCCAAAATTGCTAGATACCCACCAAAAGCAGAGTTCAAGGGTCAGTTCCCCCCCTTCAAGAGCTAATGACTGAAAAAAACCTACAATCAAGTGCGGAATCCAGGTAGAAGTTCTGCAGTAGGGTGTTAGCAGCATCAACTGCTCTGGGGAAAGACTGAATTCTGAAAACAAGGCTTGGAAACAGATTTGCAAGTGTGTGTGTCCAGAGTAACCATATTCAGCCACTGGGCTAGGATATTGTGCTCTTTTTTAAAAAATGTTTTTTATTTCAATCTTTAATGAAATAAACACTCTTGGCGAGCAACAGCATCTCTCCCCCAGTAAAAATAGATGTGCATTTGGCCACTCAATGAAAGCCAATAACTCACTAATTCAATTTAATATGTAGGAAACCTCCATGCAAAGGATCAACAAAAATGCGCTGCAGAACGCAGAGCCAAAGATGGAACCAAGTTTTATTCAGTATACCTGCAAGACTGAGAGATGGCCTCTTAGAAGGGCGGCTGCTTAATAAGGATGAGGTTAGAAAAGGAAGATCACGGGTATTTATTTAGGTTTTTAAAACACATCCATCCCACTCTGTTTTGCTCCCATTTAGCTGCACTTCCCGGAACATGACAGCTACACATTAAGAGCACTTTTCAATCTCAGCACAATTATTCTCAGACAGACTGATCAATAGGGTCCTCTGCACCAGCCTGCACTCGGAGTCCTATCAATCCTGTACCAGGCAGATCAGAAAGGCATGCAAAGGCATCCTAGCATCGAGCAAGTACAGCTTAGGGACAAAAGATATTCAAGGTTTGGGAAGCTGAGCATTAAGAAAAAAAAAGAGCAAAGATCCCTCATTTTGACACTGTTCCGCTTTAATCCACTGAAAAGGTTCATACCACATGGCTGGAAATGCACAGGCAGCAGCCTAGCACTGTCCGTGTGCCATTCATCTCTCTCTTACACACACAGAATAGCAGGACTCTCCCCTCCAACATCTCCCTGTAACAAACAACTACGTAGAACACTTTCCTCAGAACTGACTAATACAAATCTCATCACATTAGACACCATTATCTGCTTCTCAGCAGGATAAAGGTCCTATGACGCTATCCAGGGCAGTGCCAGGCTTCTGCCTGGGAGAAGTCAGGCCTATAAAGAACCTAATGGATAATTCAGTGCAACACACTACATCTAATTCAAGTTTTCCTGCAAAGCACTGTAACAGGCTAGCAAATGTTTGTCTAGAACAGGGGTGGGCAAAATGCGGCCCGCAAGCCAGATCCGGCCCGTCTAACCTTACTGACCGGCCCGCCAGGCTCTTTGGCTGCCCCCTCAGGATCTCCAGGCCACTAAAAGTCCCGTGGCGCACTGGGGCACTCAGGCAGGCTGCCTGCCTGCCGTGGCCTCACGCCACTCCCAGAAGCGGCCGGCTGCTGCTGGCATGTCTCGGCGCGCACCTGGAGGGAGGGGGGCGGGAGGCAGCTCCGAGCACTGCCACCGCCCACCCCCATCCTCACAGCTGTGGGGGCAGTGCCTGCGGGCACCAGCAGTGCACAGAGACACACTGCCCCTCTCCCCCCAAGGGGCGCACAGAGATGTGCAGCAGCAGCCAGCCGCAGCCACTTCCGGTAGCAACATGGGGCCACGGCATGCAGGCAGCCTGCCTGAGCCCTGCTGCGCCGCCGGCCGGGAGCCACCTGTGGTAAGCGCCTCCCGGCCAGAGCCTGCACCTCACACCCCCTCCCGTACCCCAACCCCCTGCCCCAGGTCAGAACCTCCTCCTGCACCCAGACCCCGCACCCCCTCCTGCACCCCAATCCCCTTATAATAATAATTAATGCAGATATCCCATCTCCTAGAACTGGAAGGGACCTTGAAAGGTCATCGAGTCCAACCACCTGCCTTCACTAGCAGGACCAAGTACTGATTTTGCCCCAGATCCCCAAGTGGCCCCCTCAAGAATTGAACTCACAACCCTGGGTTTAGCAGGCCAATGCTCAAACCACTGAGCTATCCCTCCCCCCTGCCCCAGCCTGGAGCCCCCTCCTGCACCAAACTCCCTCCCAGACCCCGCACTCCCTCCATTAATATAGTAGAAATGTGCGGCCCGTGGCGACTTACCAAAATACTTGGAGTGGCCCCCCTGCAAAAATTATTGCCCACCCCTGGTCTAGAACGTACTTCCACACACCTACTGTCAGATGGCCTTGACCCTATCTCCAGTGAATGGGCTACGTTAGAATCTGCTGATTCACTGAGGCAGGTGGCTTGTTCCCCTGCCTGGACATAGAAGTGTGTGGGCTGAGCAGTCCTAAGGGAGGATCCATAGGAGCAATCAAGCCGGGAAAGAAGGTTTGAGCTGAACATTGTTAAAACTGGGCATTAAGAAAAACAAACTTTTGGAGGAGAGGGTGAATTTCTATTCTAGAAGGCTTGCAGTCTCTGTGAGCAGGCTCAGAAAGGTACCACCCCCAGAAAGCCAATAAAGATTTGTAATCGCTCGCTGGGTATCTAACTATACTGTTCTTTAATAAAACGTCATTAAGCAACAAAAAGAAGTTTTTCTATATTTCTAGCTGCTCTGAGTTTGAACCTAGATCATGTTTTGAAAAAACAGACCATCCCAAACACTTGGGAAAGGTCCCTTCCTAGCACTGCTCGGCACTTTCATTATAGGATCTTGAAGGACTTTGCAAACATGAATTAAACCTTAGCACCCGCATAAAGCAGGAAATCACACCAGCTCCACAGATGAAAACAGAGGCAAAGAAAAGTGAAGGAACTTGCTTCTCTAAAGCACAGAAAGTCAGTGGCAGAGCCAGGAATTGAAGTCAAGAGTCTTGTCTTCCATTTCCCTGCTCCTAACTTTAGGGTATATTTCCCTCCCTCTCTCCCTCCCTCCATCATCAATAATTACATGGGCAAATTTAGATCAAATCAGACATGTTCCACAACTTCCAAAATACAGCTAGGAACAGCAAAGCCTGTGGATTCAGAGGCACATGGCTCTTTTCAACTGGAATATGATTCTCATTCTCAGTTCAGTAGTGAACTGAAATGGAAAGGGACTTCCCCAATTGATTCATTTACAGGATTATGAAATAGATTCTGGGAGTTTAACACATCTGTTAGGTACTGCAATTTCAGGGCCGCTTTCTAAACAAAAAAAATTACACCGTTCAACTAGCCGAACCAGGTCAGTGGTACATATAGCTGGCTGCAAACCTGCTTGAGTAGCAAGTGAAGACCCAGGAGTACATCTGCCTCCTCAGAGGCGGAGAAAAGTTGGAATACATACGCTAATCAGCTTCTTCCCATTGAAAACCCAAGAGTGAAATATCAGCAGCCGAGAAATAGTTGGCTGGAGCCGACTGTAAATTCAGCTGCCTTGGGCCTGTGGGTTTCACCACATAAGAGGATTTTGTAATCCCAGCTGACATTCTAAAACAGTCTGCTTTATTATTAGAGTACCCTGAAGGGGAAAGGAAATGGGAATCTTTCCCAAGTGCTTTCAGATTCAGGTTGATGACTTTGCAATGCAGCAGTGCAGGGTGGGCCTGACCTAACCGCTGTTCTGAGTGGGCTAATGGAAGTTACATCTTTAACCCCTTACTATATAAACGAAAGTTAACAGTGAAGATGCAGTGTTGACATTCACCCGTTTCTAGTTTAAAAGGGACCCTCACTGTCTTAATCACATTAAAAAAAAAAAAAAGCCTTTGCTACGTTAAATATCACCCCAATTATCAAAAAAAAAAAAAAAAAAAAAAAAAGGGAAGCGGAATGACTTTTTATTGTTGACGCTGTTTATCTTTTTGCCCCTCTCAGCTTGGACAATGGAAAGAGACTGGTTGTGTTCATTTGCTAGACAACTGCACTCCCTGGTACTCCTGCCTTGGCGTAATGCTCCGAGGGAATGCCAGACTGCTTAAAAACATTCCAAGGGGAACGATGTATTTTTAAACATACTGATGCCAGCCTTAAGGTTTGGGAATGGCCTATTTGCATCAGTCAGGCTCAGTCTGACCAGCTGGTGGGCTTTTAAACCAAGCGGGATAAGTTAGCTCGACCTGTATGTGCCCAGCTAACCGCAGATGTAGCCTGCCCGTCTTTAAGGGTCATCTCAGACACCATGAACCAGCGCTTGAAAAGAATCCAAGTGAAGACAGACCAGGA